ACAGTGCCTCGTCCGGCTTTCTTCCCATTCTCTCCAATCTTTCCGGCCACCACAATGGTGCAGGGTCTGTATACCAAACTTAGTGAAGGATTTATTCTTCCCAACACCTCTCTATCTCCATATCTCTCCCTTAAGTTAACTCATTCTCCAGTTCAGGCTAGCAAACTCCTATTGACCCAGCTCAAATGCTTCTTCTTCATGGGACTATTGTTTTCCAGGGGGAGGGGAGGGTGCAGCCACTCCTTTCTCATTGTTTTCCAGGGGGAGGGGAGGGGCAGCCCCACCCTTCTCTCTAGGCTTCAGCAGCAGCCTAGACAAGGTCAGAAGATGCAACTGTCACTGGCCTACTCCACAGCAGCTTGCGTTTCTTACCCCACAGATATATTGAGTTGCTGTGTTAGCACACTGTACCCCACTACCCAGAGCCCAGCTGCATGACCCTGGGGAGCCACCACAATCCACTTGGGCACCAGAGCTCCTTAGAAGCAGAAATGAAGCCAGTCTCTCTGAGAAGAGGACTGATAGGCAGCCTGTGAAGTTTCTGGGCCTCCAGCCCTATGTTTGCTGTGTGTGGAACAAGCCTCGGAGCTTGATGCCAGGCCAGTGCCCAGCTGTCCCACAGCTCCCAAGAGAAGGGGACCCAAAGGCCTAGCCAGCAGCCCAGGGGCTTCCATTGCAAAAGGCCCCTGAGGCTCAGCTGCCTTCTGCCACCCTCTTCAACAGGACTCCATGACTCTTCTGGTCTATCCAGCAAAGTCCTTGGCCCCAGGTGTAAGCTTCTGTCCCCCAGGACTCCTGCCCTTGGCAACAATGTGGCCTTTCCAGGATGACAGCACTTGCAGAATTCTCTCAGGCCCTAACAGAGGAGTAGCATGCCCTGTTGAGTCTCAAGCCCTGGGACAAAGGCTGAGGTGCCTATTTAACATAGCAAACCGACATGACCCCTAGGTTCTCCCAGCACACCTTACTCCCTGCCTGCCACAGAGAATGGCTGGTTATTCCTCCCTCTGCCCTGAACTCCCCAGCCCAGCGGCTGGGCTGCCCTTCCCCCATGGGGTCTGCCCTATGCAGCCATGCCATTTTGGCTACCTCACCCTTTTGTACCTTTGCTCTCTCGGCTGCTGTACCTAGTTCTCCTCTCTCCGTCCTCTCCCTTCCCTTCCCTAACCCTCTGTGTGGGTCCTAGCAGTGGCCAAGAGAGTCAGTTGAGGTCACCCATGAGGGTGATCTCAGGAGCAGCCATTAGACTGGTCACAAGGTGACCTTGTGACTCTGTGTTCAGCCTGGACTCTGTGTCTGCACTTGTCTCTAGTCACCTCCAGGGCGTGTATGGCATGTCCCTTCTCTGAGGACTATCTTAGACCATATATCCCAAATCTGCCCTGTCCTCACCCACATTGTGTACACACACACACACTCAGGAGTGGGACCCAGCCATCACTCCTCATCCTTGCTGAGCAGAGGGCATGCTTCCCCATGGCAGACACTGCAGCCTTGTTAGGGACAGGAACTCTACGGGGAAAGGCAGGGAATGTACACGGAGCAGGCCTGAGAATGCAGACAAACAAGAGAGGCTGGTCAGTAAGAAAGCATTATACCACAACGGGTCTCCGTGGGCGGAGCGTGGAGAGGCTGGGCAGGCCACGGGGCTCAGGGACATTGCTGCTTGGAGACCCTGGCTAGTGACACAATAATGAAAAGTCACAATGTTTAACAAACACATTGACATGAGCTCCACCTGTCTATGCCAAAGAGGTCTGAGGAGGGGGCGTGGGAAACCCTTGCTGAGGGGAAGGATCACTGGGCTGGTGTTTTTATCAAAGCCAAAGCCAAATCCCACCTATGGGCAAGTTCAACATGGCAGACAAGATGCAAGAGGGAAGCCCCCGTGCACCCCAGCAGTCAAGCTGGGCAACCCCTCCACCCCAGGGATATGCATGAAGGACCAAGGTAGGTGGCTGGGCAGTTCTACCCAAAGCCACCAAGTCCCCAGGAGCCCCAGCGAGGGGGAGAGGGGTCAGAGTGTGAATGGGGCCCTCTGCCCCTGCTCACCTTGGCTGCTGAACAAGTGACCCAGAGCAGCAATTTGGCTCACCATGAAGAGCTGAGTACCGGCACATAGCAACCCAACAGGCTGCACCAGGTTCATGGTCATGGCTGTAGCCACCACCAAGGCAAAGGAGGCATTGGCTGGGAGGCTCAGGAAGCAGCCAGACCTTGGGCAGGAGTGACTCCTCTGTGTCCTGAGGGCAGGACCAGATCTGATAGGGTCAAGACACCATTCTCTGTGAAACCCCAGCTTGGGCCTCTGAGATTCTCTGCATCGGGTCCTTAGGGCAGCGCAACACCATTGCTCAAGTCATCCAGCAGGGCTGCACCCCAGAGCAGAGCAGCCCTGCAGATACCAGACAACAGAGTAGAACTGCTTGTATGCCTCCCAGGCTGCAACTGTCATTCCCTGACCCATTCACTTTAGGGAGCGCAAGGGGAGGGCTAGCCACATACTCCTTGTCCTCAGACCGCCCGAGTGAGCAGCCATGGTTGACACAACTTGCCATCTCCTGCAGAAGAGAAGGTGTGTAGGCGTGGGCCCTGTCTTGCTATGTGAGGACTGACTTAGATGTTCCGCTTTGGTGGCATTCCACGTTCAGCTGTCACATCAAGCCCCTGCACACAGGCATCCTTCCACCCCCACTCAGCCTGCTTGGACTGGGTACCCCCGGGGGCGTGTATTGAATAGCCATGACCCTAAGGGAACTCACTTGGCAGGAGTGTTGACACTTCACAGACTGGCCTGAGCTGCAAATTGATTACGCAGTTGGGGATTTTGAGAGATGGTTACCCAGCATGAGCGGTGTGACAGGCCTAATATAGGAGCACTGTCATGTGTCACCAAACTGCTGAGGACCCACCCTCTACCTGCCTCTTCTGGGTCAACTCATTCGCCAAACATTGCTTGTCCATTCCTGCATGCTGAGCTAGGGACCCAGGAGATGGGTGATAGGGGGTAGTCCCAGCTCAGAGAGTTACCTCAAGGCATGGGACAGAAAGTACTCCCTGTTCCCTCGGAGGCTCCAATTATGAAGCAAGATAGTGGGGTTCCTGATTCCCCATCCAGAGCTGAGCACAGACCCCAGGGAACATGGTACAGACACCCCCAGCTTATATAAACTTGCCACCAGGCAGAGCCAGCTACAGCATCTGAGCGAGGCTGCTAAGCTGTGCCTACACGGGGGCGGGGCCAGGAGAACAGGTCTTTGACCTGCAGCGTGCCCGTGGAATCCGGAAGATCTTTTTCCAATTACCCAAACACGGGAGCCTGGTTTTCCATGTCAGAGAACAAACATTTCATCATTTTTATCTTTCCTGTCAGGCCCAGAGGAGCTGCTCGCTGCAGTCTCTTGAGGGACTCTGTGTAAAGTGATCGTGGCTGGGCTCAGCTGCCAGCAGACCAGCGTTGGGGGTGAGATACCGCCTGGCTCTTGACCCAAGAAGGCAGGTTACCTATTGACCTTGTCCAGTCCAAAGGCTTTTTGTGCCACCCTGCCAACCACACCCCACCTTGCAAACAGCCTTCCCATTTGCAGGGCAGAAGCTCACCTCTTCTTAAGGTCCAGTGTCTAGGATGGCTTCCAGTGCCCACCCTGCCTGCCAAGCTATTCCTGGGTTTGCCCCTGGGTGCCTCAACCCTCTTTTGTGCCTCTGCTCATCCACCCTGGGTGCTACAGGTCTGACTTCACACCTGGGAACCTCTGTTTCTTTGGCCTGGCCCTTCACTGGCTGGTCCCTAAGCTTCCTTGTGGCTGATGCCAACTCCCATTGGTTTAGCCTCCTGGTGCCCCCTAGAGCCTGGCACTCCACTGTGGCTCAGAAAACTGAGAGCCTCTGAACAGGAATGAGAGCTTCAAGGACACAGGGTCCTCAAGTGTGACACAAGGAGCTTTGGACAGCCTGCTGTGTGGCCCTGGGGCTGCCACTCACACACAGGGCACTCTAACACAGGGCTGCCCAGCCTACAGAGCAGAAGCTTGAAGAAGATAGGTAAGGTTGCCCTGGGCAGGTGTGGAGGGGCCCACATGGCCTGATGAGAAGACAGGAGGGGACAAGGGTGGACCTCAGTAGGAGAGGGCCTGGTAGGTGCCTTGTACCCTGGGCCACAGCTCCAGAGCTGAGCCGCATCTCATGGAGAGAGGTGTTTGGGAGTTCCTGGACACCATGATTCCTACTCTTGCCAAGAGGCAGCTGCCTCGGTGACAAATATAGATGGGAGCATCTAGCACAGAGTATGAAGTGACCCACCGTGTCACAGGACCAGCAAGGGGACCCAGAGAAGGGCGTCTGAATCAGGCTTTCTGCCAGTTCCCTCTCTGGGCCCTTCCCTGCCCTTCCAGGAGCACATGGCTCATAGCTGATAAGGAGCCCAGCTGTCTCCATCATGCTGGGCCTACCTTAGAGAGAGGGAGAAGACAGAAGCAAGCCTCCTGTGAACGCTCTGGCCCGTCCAGGCTGATGAGTGTGAAATGGGCTCCCTTGTGGGGAGGTCTTGGGCTGCCCCATCTATTGAATGAGCCAGTCCTAGATAGGTACTGACCTCCAGAGAAGTAAGCCCAGGCTTCAGATCCCAAAGCCAAGTACTTAGGGCTGAATCAACAGTGTCAGGCCTTTTTCCTGTAGGACAATAAATCTGTGATCGGAAGACTCCAGGAGCTGGGGAGCATCTGTATATCAGGGGAGACAGGCTGTCAAGCAGCCCAGAGCACCTTCTCCACTGTCAGCTGTGGCCCTTCACATAGGCTCTACTGCACCAGCGTGTCCAGGCCTCCCGAAGGCAGTGAGTTATTTATGGACTAGGAATCCAGACCAGAGACGCCCGGCAGCCGCAAATTGACCCTCCTGCCCGCCTGCCTTGTCCCCCCTCCTATTTATCCAGGATGAGGTGAGGAACTGACATTGTATATTCATCCCCGGCCCCCAGAACCTGTCACTGCACCCTTATTTACCGACAGGTCCTGTCACCAGACGGAGCTGCTCCACTGCCAAAGACACAGTTTAATGGATGCAGATAAAGATGAAGTTTGCAGAGGCTGGTGTTCTGAGGGGGTGGGCAGCCACCCATGCTATTGTGCCAGGCAGGGTCCTCCTCCTTGTAACCTGTAAAGAGACATCACACACCACTCTGGTGTGACTATGGTTTCTGAGCAGCTGCTGGACTTAATTAAATGTCCCTCCCTGGGTCTCTCCCAGAGACGATGTGCCATGTAAAACCCCCCACCCACCTGCAGAGCAGCCCCTCACTGCTCTGGCTCCCGCCCGACCCCAGCCCTGCCTCTGTCTGGAATCCACCCAGACATCCACAGGCTGCTAATTGCATGGTGGCTTGCCAGGGCCTTCCCAGATCATTAAGATTCATCACCATACTCCCCTGGCTCTGGCCACAGCTGCCCAGCCAATCACTGGCCACCTTGGCCTCAGGAAGGAGGTGACCTGTGATGTGAGCTCCTGCTGAGACCTCTGTTCCATCATTGCCACATGAGAAGGGGCTCCAGAAGGACTTGCCACCAAAAGCATCCTGAAGCCTGTCATCAAATATTGATAAAAGGCAGAGGGGAGAGGACTATGCAAATGACTTAGCAATGGCCAGGCCTGGCTCTCAGGCTTTGGAGTCAGGGAGAGGCCGCAGCAGATCAGAGAGATGCCCACAGCAGCCTCCACACAGTGGATTTACTGTTATTTTTGAACAAAGCCTCTGTGCTTTATTGCTTCAAAGCAATTGTGGAGCCAACATGTAATATTTGTGATGCGCAGAGGCAAATTCCACATGGATATTCAAGGCCAAAGCCACTGGGATTCTCCAGAGGTGACCTGTCTCCTTGGGTGGAAAGGGTATGGCCTGACCCACCAACTCCCAAGGCAGCCCAGCGGGCCTACTGGCCGCAACCACCAGAAGCAATGGAGAATGGGGGCAGGTACATGAGGCTAGAACTTCTGGAAGATTTCTTACATTTTGAGGCTAGGGGGCTTCCAGAATGTTCTGACCCATCAGCAGCATTGCTTTGGATTGCTTGGGGATCCTACACTGTCTCATTTTGTCCTAAATATAGCCTGTGCCCACCCTTCTCGCAGCTGGACCGGGTCTAGATACTCTACCCCCCCAAACCTACTAGACTGAGGCAGGTTCTCCAGCTGTGCACGTTCTCCAGCTGTGCAGGTTTCTGCTTGAGGAGCAACAATAAACCCTTCACTCTCTCAAAAGTAGGTTCCTGTTGGGCCTGACAGTACACACTTGTAATCTTGACACTCAAGAGGCAGAGGCAGCAGAATGGGAAGTTCAAGGCCAGCTTGGGCTACACAACAAGCCTGTCTCAAAAAAGAAAATAAATTACCAGGAGTCAGTCTCTTAGGAAGTAATTTCTTGGATACAGCAAGATGCCTCATTAGGTACAGGCACTTGTCACCAAGCCAAGCAACCTGGGTTCACACTGCTGGACCTACACAGAAGGCAAGAACTGGCTCCCGCAGGCCTCAGCTCCATGTATGGGCATGCACACGCCAACACACACATGCTCTGGCCCTAACTCCAACCACACTGAGGACACTGCTCCCAAGCTCAGTCATCATTGTATTCTTTTCAGGCAACACTTCCCAGCCTGATCCTCACTGTCTAGGGTGGGGCTCCTGAGACCCCAAGAAAGAGATGCAGGCACAGAGCTGCACCTCTGGACCACCAGCAGGGCGTGGTCTCCACACTCCTCCCCCACTGACCTGGTCCCACCTCTTTGCCACCTTCTCAAGCAGGCTTCAGGGAGCTCGCACAAAGGGTCCAGTCCGGCCTCCTAGGCTAAGAAGAAACAGGTGAAAGGGCCCCTGGCCTTCAGCTGGAAATGGCTTACGGCTGAGGCTAACCCACCAAGATGGTCTTGGAAGCTCGGAACTTACTGTGTACAGTGGCCCAGCACTGCCACTTGGGCACTGACCCTCATCAGCCCATCTGCTTGTTGGCAGCCTAAAACCCAGGCTTTCTATCCTCTCCTTACTATAGAGGGGGGAGAAAGCCCCTCTCAAGGCAGGAGCCATAGTGCCAGCAGCTGACTTCTCCACAAGCCACACAACTGGCCTCATTCTCATTCTCACCACACTTTAGGTCACAGAGAACTCAGAGCCAAAAGTCCAGGTTCCAGCCCAAGCCCAGCTAAGTGCTGAGGTACCAGTAGGTCAGTAGAAAGTGATGTCCAGCCACGGGGGGGCATTACTGGACCCCTCCACCCTATCAGTTTTTCCAAGACTTCCTCCTCCTTGGGAATAAGAAAAGACGGTGCCTTCTTGGAGCCAAATGCAGGCTCTCTTGTCTGTTTCTGGAATGGAAGGTGGGGCTCTGGGAAGGAAGACCCCTGAGGATGCTTGGAGCTGTGCATGATCAAGGCACTGACAGCCAGATATCAAGAGCAGTTGGGAATTCAGCTGGGATTCGTGGGACACACACTACAACTCCAGAGGGAATGCAAATGGAGTCTACAGAGAGCCCTTGCTTCTGCCCAGCCTCAGCTCCAGAGCCATGGATGCTAGGGACTGCCACTGAGGGTCCATCAGAAAGCACCGGTCTCTGCATACCGCTCTATCCTGTGGGCCTGGCTCCCCCAGTGAGAACAACGCCTCTGCAAGTTTGTAGGTTAACTGACCTTACAGATCTCAAAACCTCAGCTCCCACCTTCAGTGTCACCTGCAAGCTCTGGGGGAGGAGCTGGAGCCAGCCTGCCCTGCACAAGAGCAGGAGCAAGGGCTCCCCAGCAGGGCCTCTCCTCACTGCCCCAACCCAGGCTTAGTCAGTGTCCTGCTGGCCTTGCCAGGGGTTTCTTACAGTTCATTCCAAGGTGCTAAGAGGTGTCCCAGGGAAAGCAGCGGGCAGGAGGTGTGAAGGGCAGAGAGCTGTTTCACATCAGCAGCCCTCCCCACAGCCAACCTGGTTCTTCCATGACAGCCTCAGCCCTTTGTCCAGTGTATCTCTGAGGGTTAGCACAAAACACAGCTGGCAGCAGCCAACATGGTTCTGACCAACACTTACCGGAAGAGGGTCACCGCAGCAGCCCTACCTCCAGCTGAAAACACCGCAACAGCAAAGTCAGTCTCCCACGCCCTCCTTTCCTAACCTCCGACTCTTGCCCTGGCTGGAAAGCCAAAGTCCCTGAGACTAGCTGGCTCTGAGGTGCTTGTCACCTAAGTCTTTACTGCCTCTGTTTCCTCATCAATCAGGGTGAGTAACTGGGTGGCCCCTTTCGGTGCTGACAGCCTCTGGTTCGAAGCTCCCTGGCATAAAGCTAACTGCCATAAAGCCTGGATTGGTATGACACAGTATTGTAGGGCTTAACCAACACAGGCCGACCTCAAAGCAGTCCTGCAGCCCCGTCTCAGGGTTTTGATCCTTGGGGCCAGCCACTCTATACAGAGAAAGGTGAGCAAGACTCACACTGCTGGCCTCTCCTGGGGAAGAGGCTGGGCTTGGCTGCATGCCAAGGAGGGCTTGGTGGAGTTTCTTCCATCCTGGGACAAAGTCCATTGAGGCCCAGCACCTACTCAGCCTGGGTGACCCCCCCCCAAGGAGGACTGGGCATAGTCCTGGGGAGCAGAGAGCCTAGGATGCCTCCTGGGAAGACAATCAACTCCAAGAGCCATTTTTGTTAGCGTGGATCCTCCTGGTTCTCCCAGGAGCATGGAAGAAGGATGTCCTTCTGGGTTAGCTGACGGATGGAAGGAAGGAGGGGTGGTTAGCCATAACCCAGGGCTGTCTGTACTTGGCCCCTTGGCCCATGGCCTACAATTGCAGAAGAGGATGTTCCTATTACAACTACAGGGATCTCCATAGAAACCCAAGGTCTAATTAGACACAAGTAAGTGCTTCCCAAGTACATTTTAATTACAGCTTTGCTGAACTATTCGTCAGCCTGAGGATTCAATTGCTGTGTGTCTGAGCTGGGTGGGCGCTTCCCCTTGCCAGCACTCAGTGGTGTGTGTGCTGTCTTATGTCAGAACCCAGCAGGACCGGGTATCAAGGAGCAGAGGAGTGGCATCACGAGGGCTCCGGAAGCAGTCATAAGGGGCAAGAGCAAGCAAAGTGAAGAGCCTAAACCCCAGGGAGCTCATATGGAGAGGACGGGGCCCCAGCAGGCATCGGGACTCTACAAATGGCAGTCTCAGGATAGAACTAGGATGGGTGGGAAGGGCTGGAGAGGGGTCAGCCGATCCAAGCAGGAAGCAAGCCCTGGGAAGGGTGTGGGGGCCAGCAGCACAGGAGTCCCAGTCAAAAGGAGACACCAGCATGGGGTGCTGAGGGTCTCTCACACACCCACATTGCTGGTCCTGCACTGTGAGCTCAGGCAAGTGGGTACTTCAGTAGGAAGTGTCTGGTAACATCTCCTTGAGGTAGATTGAGTGGGGGCGGGTATTTACATCCTTCCAGGGCTTCCCACAAGGAGAGCTTTGGCCTGCTGCACTAGCTACAGGGTCCCTCCCTGGCAGGCAACCAACTCCTCCACACCTCTCAGGCACATAAGGGACCAGATCCTCAAGGACGCTCAGAAGGTTGGCTTAGCAGGAAGGGTGCCCAGAGATGACCTGAAGTGAAGACGTTGCTTTTCCTCGTAGGCTTCAATGGTTATGTAAACATGTGAGTCCCACATTCCATCTTAAAGACAGGCCCTACCCATCCATTTGGAGGCACCAACAAGGGACAAACAGTAAACAATGTCACCTCCTTGAACCCAGAATGAACAGGCAGCTGCCTACTCTATATCCAGATCAACAAGTTCTTCTGTTTGCCTGCCGCAGGGTCCAGCTGCCCAGGGATTTCAACTTTTTTCTAAGGAATTGGATGTCTAGGGTCAGTCCCCGATTCTCCAGCAAAGCCTAGGCAAAGAGAGAGGCTGGATTATCCCAGCCTGGAATCCAGCTGCTTATGAAAACAACTATTTCTGTGACCTTAGGTGACTCGTTTTGCTTCTCTTTGCCTCGGTTTCCCCAACTTTATACCCCTAGGTCTATATTCTTCTAGGACTATTTACTATTTACTCTCAAGTACAAGGCAAGCAATCGGGGTTCAAAGCCATCCGAGGGTCAGGTGGGCATGGTACTGGCGTGTGGTAGAATATGGCATTGGGGTGTGGGGTGGGACTGGATCAAGTAGGACACGGTGTGTGATAGGAAGAACTGGAGTGTGATACGGTGTGTGGGGTGGGTGGGGTCAGGTATGTGGGTGTGATGTGACGTTGGAAGCTGGGTATGGTATGGTGTGTGGGTTATGGTGTGAAGCAGGCCTGAGGGTAGGGGGTGGAGGATGAGTTGGGGTTGCCGTACTGTGGGGCCCAGGGTGTGGCGTGGGTTGGAGTGAGGTATGTAGGGCTGGGCAGAGTTGTATGGTGTGGGTAAGTGTGAGTGTGGGGTGTATGGATGGGGTGTGGTATGGGTCGGGGTGTATGTTGGGCTTGGGAAGGGATGTATACAGTGTGATGTGGGCTCTGAGATAGGATAGAGCCCTGGGGTGTGGTGTGGGGGGATGTGTCAGGGACGGGAGGGGTGAGTGGGGGTGTGGCTGTGGGAAGGGATGGGGTATGAGTGTTGGGGCAGGCGCCAGGTAAGATGTGGGGTGTGATTTGTGGGGGTAGATGGTATGAGATGGCGTATGGAAATGGGGTGGCGGACAGATGAGAAGAGCGGGCTTAGCTAGCTTGTTCATACGGCAGGCAACAAACTTAGCCCCTATGAATACGGGTGGAATAGGTATCAGGGTTGGCTGACCTGAGCATGTGAGCATGCGCGCACACACACACACACACACACACACACACACACACACACATGCATTGTACTGTACTCTCGCATGCACACACACATATACACATTGTACTGTACTCTCGCATGCACACACACACACATTGTACTGTACTCTCGCATGCACACACACACACACACACACACACACGTGTGCATTGTACTGTACTCTCTCATGCACACACACACACACACACACATGCATTGTACTGTACTCTCGCATGCACACACACACACATTGTACTGTGCTCTCGCATGCACACACACACACACACACACATGCATTGTACTGTACTCTCGCATGCACACACACACACATTGTACTGTACTCTCTCATGCACACACACACATACACATTGTACTGTACTCTCTCATGCACACACACACACACACACACATGTGCATTGTACTGTACTCTCATGCACACACACAAACACACACACACACGTGTGCATTGTACTGTACTCTCTCATGCACACACACACACACACACGTGTGCATTGTACTGTACTCTCTCATGCACACACACACATTGTACTGTACTCTCATGCACACACACGCATTGTACTGTACTCTCTCTCTCTCTCTCACACACACACACACACACACACGTGTGCATTGTACTGTACTCGCTCATGCACACACACACACACACACACACGCACGCACGCACGCACGCACACACACATACGTATTTACACACATATGCACTTGGCACATGAGCACACCTGAACACACACATATATGCATTGTGCTGTACTCTCACGTAAACATATTTACACATGCACGCATGGGTTCATGGGCACACATGGACACACACAGCAGTGCTCATTAGTAGCTACTAGGGATGGGCTAATGGCTGAATTCACATTAGGCCACCACCCGCCCTGTTAGACTCATAATTGGACATAGTGCTGCCGCCGGGGCAGGCAGTGAGGAGGGCAGTGTTTGATCCTAAGGGGAGGGTGGCTGCCTGGGGAGTGTGCGCTCATCTGTAATTGGCGTCTCCTCCCTTGCACTCGGCCTGCTGGACTAGCTTTCATCTAGAGGACAGGCGGAGCTGCAGGCTCTCATCTCTCCTCCCAGGCCTGGCAGCCATAAGCAGTAACTCAGCTGTCCTCCTGCCTCACCACATAGCGTTGAGCCTTCAGACCCAACCTGCCCCCCCCCCCCAAGCAGAGCAGGCAGTGTTCTCTCTAATTTACTGACCGGGCCTTAGCCAACTGATTGTCCCTCCCACAGGCTTGGATCAGATTGCTCCCGTCAGGAATTCCTTAACAACACTGAATATTCCCAACAAGCGAATGAGTAACCACCATCAGACAGATGGTGAACAAAGGCCCAGAACTACAGCAAACCAGGGCAGTGGAAGCCTGGCCCAGGCTATCCCAAAACCACTGTGCAACAAGGTCAGCCAGGTGACTAGCCCTTTGTGGCCCTGAGACAGTGTCTCAACTCAGCCCAGTGTCTACTCTGATGTTCCCAGTCCCTGTCCCCTCCCTCAGGGAACCAAATCTCGGGACTGCACAGATGGGTCCTAGATGTGTCGGGGCCCTGTGTGTCCCCCAAGACCCAGGGCATTGATTCAGGTGGCTGCCCCAGCTCCTAAAGCAAGTCACAGGGAAGAATGGGGACTCCTGGATAGGGACCTAGTTCAGCCAGAGCCTGAGTAGAGAAATGGCCCAGGAGAGCAAAGACGGCCAGGCTGCCTGCCTGCTGACCTCATGGCCGCTGACCCTAGCCACATCAAGCTCTGAACCACACCAGGAAGCAGGAGGTTCCAGGTAGAGGGAAGCGCAGCAATACAGACCATCTTGACACTTGGCTCTGCCTGTCTCTTCCCTGGCTTTAAGCCCTCATCTAGGCCATGGATAGCTACTATGTGCTCGGCCCACCTCCATCCCCTGAGAATGGACAAATAACAGAACAAGAGCAACTAGAGAAATAACAGAACAAGAGAAATAGTGCTGGAGCCTGGTAGGGCACCCACAGCAGGCTCTGTCCATCAAGAAAGCCTCTAGCCCCTTGGAACTCCCAGAGATACCATCTCAGGACATGTGACTATTGCCCAGCTGGGCCTACCTGCTGCAGCAGGGCTGGAAGCTTCCCACAAGACTGCAATGGACACCTGTCCGGCTCTAGCTTCCCCACAAGATCCTACTTTTCTAATGACCCAGAACTCCTCTTTCTATAACTTCATTATCTGACCCCTCTCCTTTTGCTAGCATTGTGTGCCAGCATCTTCTATACCTACCCAAACTCCATGAGTCCCTGAAGCCCAGGCATCCCTGGTTTTCGGGTCCAGCCAGCACCCCAGTCAGGAATGAGCCCATGGTCCTCTTGCCCATCTTTTGTCTTGGATGTGACATCACTTGGGGGATCTGCCTCATCTTCTGTCTGTCATCGACTCGAATGTCTGCATTCAGTCTACGTGCGCACTCTTACACACGCACTCTTGCCCTGATTTAGGAAAAAAAAAAACAAAAAACCCTCCAATAATCTAGGAAGCATCCAAAACCATGGCAGCCTGCCTCCAGATGAGTAGCATCAAATACCTCCAGGGTAGCCATCAGGAGGGGTGGACAAACCAAGGCTGGGCCATAGCTGATGCAAATCAGGCCCTCCTTAATGGTTGGACCGGACCCCCAGCATGCTTGGCATTCAGCAGGTGCTCATAAACATGAAGCCATGTGGCGGCGAGAACTGCCTGCTTGGCCAGGAGCCCCGTGAATGCCAGCAGCCAGCTTTCCCTTTCTCTGGCCATCTCAATAGGAGAACACAGAATCGGACCCCATAAAACTCACACCTGCCGTACTGCTGTGTGATGCCATAGACGAGCTGCCCCTCTCACGGGGCAACTGCCAACTGCGTGTGAGCTGGACCGGCTTATTTATTGGCCTTGGGAGACCTGGGGAGCCTCCCAACTAGGAGTCTTCAGGCCTGGGCCCACCTCCTCCCAGCCTTCCTGATACCCTCACCTCCCAAGGAATACTGTCATTTAACAACCAAGGAGGGAGCTCAGATGCAGGGAGGAAGAAGCTGAAGAAACCTGTCCAGAGAAGTTATGACTTACCTGGGAAGAAACTGCTGACAGCTCAGACAGAGATCACACATACCCTCCTCCCTCTCCTTTCTGGGTGATCACAACAACAGTGATATGCCCGTCTCCCCTAGGTTTCCCAGGGCACAGCTGACCAGTAGAGCTTTGGGCCAATAGGACAAAAGATGAGGGTCCAAGCTGAGAAACAGATTTCAGCAACTTAGTATCACCACGGGGTAGGTGGCATGGTGAGGCCCCATAGCTAGAAAGGGACCCTCCCTGCCCACTGCGTGGGCTCCTGTCACCTGTGTCCCCTCTAGATACTTGCCTATACAGTGTGCAGTATGAGGGATGAACATGAGGCCAGTCCAGGTGGCCTGTCTTGCCTTCTGAGCCAACATACATGCCCAGGAGCTGTCCAGTGGGCCACACATCCCCAAACTCCATCAGGTGAGGGCAGCCCAGTATGTCCACAGGGAAGCCACTGTGTTGAAGGACAAGGTCAGGTCCCCAGATGTGCCAATCTGAGTGATTTACTGACTTCCCAGGCCGTCCTCCAACAGGGACCAAAAGCCACCAGGGCCAGGCGCCTGGAGGCTGCCACACTCTCCCCTGCACTGTGGCTGGACTGAGCCTGTCAGGAGTGGGACTCAGATGCAGGTTGGGGTGCAAGCAGAGAGCTTGGGGGCTCATTCAGGCCCCTGGCCAGCCCTGCCGCCTCCTTCTAAGGGGCTGTAATTAGAGGCCCTGGGGACCCAAAGCACCCACTGCTGATCCCCCAACAAAGATGAGACTCAATGTGGCCTTCTAATCCATTATCCCTGTCCCTCAGGGGGTGCCCAGCTGCCTGAGCTGGGCTGGACCTCACTAGCAGACTCTAATTGGAAGGACTGCATGAGGCGGGTCCCCAGAAGCTCTCCCTGAGGTGCTGAGGACTGGAGCGCAGGTGGAAGAGATTGGGGGGCATCTCCCCTACCCTGGAGGGCGGGGAGGCTCAGAGTATGGGGTTCTGCAGCCACCGAGGCCTTGCCTATTGTTCCAGAAATGAGGGCCACCAACACCAGGGAGCTTGTGACAGAAGGGGCAGGAGACATGGACTAGGCTTTGCCTGCCCTGCCCTGAGGAGGTGGCAATAGGGTGTGTATTGTTTTTCTTGTCTCACAGCTGTGACAAATACCTGACAAAGGCCACTTAAGGAAGGATTTGGACTTGCACTTTAAGTGCTAAAGGCTATCGTCAGAAAACATAGCGGCAGGATCATGAGGCAACCAGTCACGTTTGCTATTGTTTTTGCCACCAGAAAGCAGAGCGATGCACACATCACTGCTCAGGGGGCTGCTTCTTCTATTCAGTCTGGGACTCCAGCTCACAGTGCTGCGCACTGCAATCGGTCTCTCTTCCTTGGCTATCCTTTTCTGGAGATGCCATCAAGTATACCTTGGAGGTATGCCCCATTAATGCCTTAGGTGTTTCTTAATCCAGTCAAGTTGACGGTCAGAATTAATGGGTGGGCTCTGCAGCAATCCAGTGCCATCTGGATGGAGAGCCCAGCTTCGGCCACCTCTCTGGCCTGCAGCATACTGGCCCTACAACCTGGAGAGGGGATACTGCCTATGTCAACACAAAATCCTATGTCCCACTTGGGGGAAACCACAGAGAACATGTTGAAGGTCACCTAAGAGGGGAGGCCCTGCTCTCTTGACCCTAATACCACATTCCAGCTCCCATGTTCTGTCAGAAACCTGGAATGCTAATTCTTTCCTTTCTCATGGGGTCCAGTGATCTCTCTATAAAGGCCCTGATCGGTCTCTCCTCCTGGACCCCTTCCTCCCTTCTGGTCTCTGTACCCTGAGTTTCTCCCCAGAAGCCAGCGCTAACATTCTACAGAGTGTGAGTAAACCACAGAAAATCACCCCAGATCCTTCCCTCCCTCACCCCCAGCTCTGCTCGCTCTACTGCTGGCCACACTGGAGAGCGTACCCTCCCAGCCCCAAGGGAAAACTCCAGATTGCTTTTGCCAGTGGTGGCCATGCTGGGAACCCACCCCTACCAGACCCACCAAGAACAGAGCTCTTCCAGGCAGATAGCCAGCACACGCATGCACACAGCCTCACACACACCTACACATGGATTCAGATAACTTCTCACCAGAGCCCTGGCAGGGTGCTCAGGGCAGTTCCCTCACTGTAAACCTGGGCAATTCTCCATGCCCTCTACAGGGACCAATGGCTGACCACTTAGTGTCTCAACAGGGGTTTCAATGGGCAGCACCCCCGCACTGTTCCAAGGAAGATGTCCACAGAAGTAATTTATGGTCTTGGGCTGCCAGGGAAAGGCTGGGCAGAATGGGAGCACCGAACCCTTAATTGTGCCAGTTGCTAACCTGGGCAGCCTTGCACAGTGAGACAAAGGCAACACAATATTTGCAGGCATAATTTATCCTCCATTAATGTTCGAGACAACGGACAAATTAAATCTCTTTTAAATTTAATCTGTCTCTAATAGTTGGCAGAAGAAAGGGGGAGTCCTACACAGTCTTTGAATATTTAAACCTCCATGTAAAACTCTCAAACCCCAGGAGCATGGCACATGGAGGGACGAATATTATCGTAGGGAAGGAGGGCTCAATGCCACTTGCTTCTTCAATGCAAATGCCCTGTTTTTATCTGTGGCTTACAGGCCTGTCACAAATAGGATTAGGAAACCATTTCATGAAATGGAGGCAAACAGGATTTAATGGAAAAACCAAAAGATGGTCCAAGACCCATTTGCTTTAATGGCTTTTCTGGCCAGGAGGTTCTGTTGAACGACCTCCCAAGATGCGTCCCCCCAGGACACCTCCCCCCCCCAAGACACAAACTACAAGAGCAAAGGGACCCTGATAAGAGGGCAGACTGAGGTGAGAGGAGAAGGGCTAGCTGCCAATTACACAATTGATCCATCAGTAAAATTCACTTACTGGCTTTGCTGGGAGCTTGATTACCGTCAACAACTTAATCCTTCACTCTGGAAGTCCATCCTGGGTCCAGGGGGACAGCACTCCAGTGTGGGGGCAGGAATGACCCAGATGGGCACACTACAGCCACCAGATGAGATGTAGACACTGCTACAGCAACCAGCGACACAGCCAGGACACAGGGGCCACCACTGGTGACATCCAATGACCCCCGCAGGTCTACTCACTCTACCACAGCCATGACAGCCATGCCCTGGCTCCTAGCTTGCTCTCAGGCCTCAGTCCCCACAGTGTACACGTGTGGAGGGGTACTTTCACCAGGAGGTCACAGCCACCCCACCCTATGCCTTGCAGAACTCCTGCTGCTTGCCCTTGGCCAGCAGCACTCCTAGGGTCCTCTTTTTCTCAAGCCCCGGCCCGGTCAGCAGACCCCTAAACGCCTCCTCAGCCAGCCTCTTATATCTTCAGTGGTCTCAGGTTCTCAGACACGCACCTACACTCCCAACACCCGCAGCTAGGCCACCCTCCTTGGTGTGAGGCCAGAACAGACTCCTGTCTAAACACCATATACACTAGGCCGTGTACGGCCGAATGTAGCTTCCACCATCCACCTCATCTTTAGCACCCAGCACAGCCCCACCTCTCCCCACATACCCGCTCCTCCAGCCTCTTGTCTCCTGCCCAGTGGTCCTCCTCCATCTAGGACGTCTGCACTTGGTAAAACCCCACCTTGCTGCCAACTCCTCCAGGCAGGTTCCCTCATTTGATTCTCTGGTGTCCTAGATCCCACCACACCATGGTAACTGTGGTGGTTTGAGTGAAAATGGCCCCCATAGGCTCATAAGGAGTGGCGGCAGTAGGAGGTGTGGCCTTGTTGGAGGAAGTGTGTCACTAGGGATGGGCTTGGAGGTTTCGGAAGCTCAAGCCAGGCCCAGTGTCACTCACCCTCTCTTCCGGCTGCTGGCAGATCCAGATGTAGAACTCTTAACTCCTCTCCAGCACCATGTCTGTCTGTGTGCCACCATTGGATGTCACCAGTGGTGGCCCCTGTGTCCTGGCTGTGTCGCTGGTTGCTGTAGCAGTGTCTACATCTCATCTGGTGGCTGTAGTGTGCCCATCTGGGTCATTCCTGCCCCCACACAACACAGCTGTGTTCCAGCTGTGACCATAACGGATTAAACCCCTGAACTGTAAGCAAGCCCCAATTAAATGTTTTCCTTTATAAGAGTTGCTATCATGGTATCTGTTCACAGCAATAGAAACCCTCACTAAGACAGTCCCTATGGCCACAGACCTGGAGGAATAGGGAGCTGGGAACAGGGATAGAAGGTGTGCTGGGAGACCCTTCATGCCATGAGACCCAGCCTTGGCTCTCTTCTCTGACTTCTGACTCCTCAGCTGAGCACTAAGAGACTGAGTCAGGGTCTTCCTTGCTAGGCCCTGCCTGTGCCCACTTCTCACCAACTGAGCAGTCTCCTGCCCAGTGATCCACCAGGAACTCAGGCCCATACTTGCGTTTCTCACGTGTGTCCTTTGGTACTTAATTAAGAAAGCCATGGCCTTCTCCTCTGTCTCTTCTACCCTCCTCCCTTCCCATACCCTCGCAGTGCTTCTGGGGCTTCTGCTGAAATGACAAACCTGGCAGGGTTGCCCTGGGGAGGGGCAGAGCCCTTGGAGGGAAAGGGGTGTGGCCAGAGCACTACTGTTGAGCAAACCAGCCCCACTGCTGGGTAGCCTGAGCTTAGATGCCAAGCCCTTGTGGGGATGGACATGTTGGCTTTCATGAAGCTGCCAGGGTGGGCCCAGCAGGCTCCGTATCCTCGGGAGTGGCCATCTATTGAGAGATGGAGGTAATGAGACTGAAGGAGCTACCCAGGCTGCCCAGCCCCCTCCAGCATCCTCACCAGAGCTGCAATTCAGGTGCCAGTTTTCCAGTTAGGTGCCAGGGCTCAGTTCCAGGGACGTTTGAGCATTTGGGGTTAGAAGTGAGGCTTTATAACTCTGTCCCACCATAAATAACTTACGTAAACCTGAAGGGTACTGGGAGCTTGGGGAGAGGCACCCATTTTCTGCCTGGCCTTGCTAATGAACTGATACGTCAGCCACCTGGCCCCTCTGGCCACACACTGTCCTCAGTCTCAAATGTTGATGAGTAGTCTAAGCATGGGTCAGCTGGCTAAGCAAGCTATTACTCAGCACTAAATCAAGTATTCAGGGCAATCTCTCCCCCTTAGGTTTTTGCATCTTTTTGCTTCGGTTTTTCCTGTTTCAAAGATGATCAACATTGTCGAAGAAAATTCAGAGAACAGTCTGCCCCAGGTTCAGTGGAATATACAGTTTCACAGCCCATAACGCCCTGCGTTCACAAACTGCTGACGCTCCCAAGATACACTGCTGTCCCGCACATGACCTACTGAAGCTTCTTCCTGGAGCTCTTGTCTCCAGCACGCCAGGGTGCCGCTGTGTGGCCCATGAGCCACACCCACCACAGCATGGGTGTCCCTCTCAGGCGAGAGACAGGCACGTATTACTTCTGCTCCATCTCATGAGGGCACAAACACTTCTAACCCAACAGTGAGACTGGAAGGAGCCAGACAATGGAGGACCACACAGGCTTCAAGTAGCAGTAAGAACTGTAAGGAAGTCTGTGTACCCCATCACACCCCAAAGCGGCCACTTGCACCTCCCTCCTTGTACTCAGTGTACTGGTCCCCAAGTGAGGCAGCCTGCCCCTGGTCCAGCCCCAGGCCTAGTTGGGATAGGGTCCAGGTACAGCTCCCCAGGCTGCAGCAGGAATTAACCCGCTACCTGATCCACAAGCAGAGAGAGGGCCCTGGCCAGCAGAAACTCCACCCCTTGGGCCTGAGAGAGCACCAGTGGTGTAGCAGCTTCCTGCCCAACATCTGGCCCACTGTTTGCTATTCAGTAGCCTCAAGGCTGCACCAGCTCCATGTTTATATAATTAACATTTCACAAACAGATCAGCTTGAATGGCTTATAGCATGCAATGTTTTACACACATGTGCACACAATGTGTGCCCTCTCTGGGACATCCCACCCCTGAGCCCCCCAGAGGGCTGAGAGACTCACAGCAGAGGGGGCTGTCCACCACCAACACCCTGTCCTGTGGGAGGGAGGCCGTAAGTTCAGACTGTCATCCACAAGCTTGCTGGCTGTCTCTGAGAAGAGTCAACAGCCACACCCATGTGGCTTTCCACACTTTGGGACCCTGAATCTGTATCTAAGTGCAGATTTCTTTGGGTCCGTGAACTCCTGAGCAAAATGGGGAGAATAGAGAAGAATGGGGCCCACCTTCTTCTTGCCCCGCCCCTGACTCAGTTCCCCAACGGGTTTACCTGCTCAGCTTCATCCCTCAGTAACATCCTTGTGAGGGTGCTCCTCCCAGTGGGGCCTTGCATCACCCACCCCCCCCACCCCCCCCACACCCCCGGCAACCCCTACAAGGGGTATTCTTGGCCCTCCATAGCAGAAAGCCCAGGGATGAATCCCAGGCAGGGCCTCCGAGACCCTAGTGCTACTACTCCTGAGGACTTGTGCAGGGAGCCACAGATGATCTATGGGTGGCTTCTTAGCACCTCATACACCCCCTCAGGGCCTTCGAATGCCACAGAGAGGTCCAGGGGAGGTCCCCAGGAAAGGCCACACAGCTCCACCCCAGCCAGTGCCAGCAGAGCCCTGCCAAGATAGACTCATTACGGAAGCGATTAGCGCTAACAGCTTTGAGCTGGAGCTTGGTGGCTCCAAGAGAAATGAACCCTAATTACCCACAATTACAGACCCTGCCTGCTTAGTCCAACCCTAGGCCTGCAAAAAGCAGTTCCAGAGTGGTCCGGGTACCCTCAGGATTGCCACAAGGCTAGCCCTCTCGAACCTTACATTCCTGAGTGTTGATAGTCCTTCTGGGGCATAAAAGGCTCCTTCAGAGGGCCAGGAGGGCGTGTTTCTGAAGATCCTGGGTCAGTTGGCCCCACTACTCTTGTGTGCCTCTGTGTGCCTCCCTGACTTCCACCACCCACATCCCCATGTTAAAGCACCGCCCTCCGCCCGTGACAGCCCATCTGTCTTAGTTAGGGTTAATATTTCTATGATGAAACACCATGAGCAAACACCAAGTTTATGTGGCTGACACTTCCACATCACTGTCCATTGCTGAAGGAAGTCAGGAGAAGAGCTCAAGCAGGGCAGGACCCTGGAGGCAGGAGGCCATGGAGGGCGCTGCTTACTGGCTGGCTCCTCGTGGCTTGCTCAGCCTGCTTTCTTTTCTTTTCTTTTTTAAATTTATTTATTTATTATGAATACAGTGTTCTGCGTGTTGCCTGCATGCCAGAAGAGAGCACCAGATCTCATTATAGATGGCTGTGAGCCACCATATGGTTGCTGGGAATTGAACTCAGGACCTCTGCAAGAGCAGCCAGTGCTCTTAACCTCTGAGCTATCTCTCCAGCCCCTCAGCCTGCTTTCTTATAGAACCCAGGACCACTAACTAACTCAGAGTGCCCCGCCCACCCTCATCAATCTCTAGTCAAGAAAACGCTCTATGGGCCTGCCCACAGCCTGATCTTAGGGAAGCATTTTCTCAGTTGAGGCTCCTTCCTCTCTGATGGGGGCAAGTTGACGTAAAGCTAGGCAGGGCCCCATCCTCATACCCACCTGCCCTTTGCATCTTGGGGGTCATCGCTCTGGCTTGGATATGTATAACTTGAGACAAAGAATCTGAGGTCACATCCCACTTCTGGGCTTGGGGAAAGTGCCCTAAGACTCAGCCTGTGACAATTGGCCTCTTCAGTAGCCAGATATCTTCCAACCACACAGCATTGCTACTCTGCAGTTAGGTCCCAGAAACAATTCCAACAGAGACCCAGGAAGTGAAGCACTTGTAGCCTGGTGCCCTGGACTATTCCTCTGCCACTGGAGGGAGCAGCAGGAGGCATGGGCACAGAGGTCCTCCATTCCCATAGGGCAGGACGGGATGTTAGGATGCCTGTGGTGGAGATCACAAGATGCCTGTGTGCCTAGTCCTCAGACTAGGCACAGAATGGAGGTGCACTGGTTTCCTGGACCAGAACTCTGAGGTGCACACTTGACTGGGTGACAGCTCCTCCCCAGGAAGCCAGAGTGCCCCGTGTTTCTAATGCTATTCTGGGTTCAGCACCTGCTTCTAACAGAGGTCCTGAGAGAGCAGCGGGGAAATGGGGAGCAGATGGACCCCGTGTGAGGGGGGCATGCTTCTTACAGTCAAGAATGTAGAGGCCACTGAAGAGGCCAGCTGGACCGGAAGGCTCAGTGCGGGTCCGAGGGTTAGATGATGATTAAGGGGGGTGTTCTGGCAACCTCTCCCAAACGTTCCTGTCCCCAGGAACTCAGGATGGAGTGCACTGAGAAATGGGGCCTTAAAGAAGTGACTGAGATAGTGCACTGTCTGGTTTTGTGTGTCAGCATGATACAAGCCAGAGTCATCCGAGAGGAAGGAGCCTCAGCTGAGGAAATGCCTGCATGAGATCCAGCTGTAAAGCATTTTCTCAATTAGTGATCAATGGGGGAGGGCCCAGCCCATTGTGGGTGAGGCCATCCCTGTTTGTCCTGGGTTCTATAACACAGTGGGTTAAGCAAGCCATGGAAAGCAAGCCAGTAAGCAGCTCCCCTCCACGGCCTCTACATCAGCTCCTGCTTCCAGGATCCTGCCCTGTTTTGAGTTCCTGTCCCTTCTTCCTTCAGTGGTGAACAGTAATGCTCAAGTGTAAGCCAAATAAACCCTTTCCTCCCCAACTTGCTTTATGGTCATGGTGCTTTGTCGTAGTCATAGAAACCCTAGCTAGGACAGACAGTAAGGTGGCTAGGGCAGATATAACATAGTCTGTGTCCTCATGAGAAAAAGAGATGAGGACACAGATACACAGGGAAGGGCAGCCCAGTGAGGAAATGCAGAGGCTTAGGGAGTCAGCTGGCTGCGGTAAGCAGCTCCCTCCATGGCTCTGCATCAGTCCCTGCCTCCAGGCTCCTGCCCCGACTTCCCTCACTGATGGACTGTTACAGTGTAAGCTGAAATAAACCCTCTCCTCCCAGGTTGCTTTTGGTTATGGTGTTTTGTTTTTTTTATCACAGCAACAGAAACCCCGAGACAGGTGGGCTGAGAAGCCAGTCCTTCATTCCCTAGGCTGGCAGGGCTGGGCATGATAGCCTGTTTGGGGTAGGGGAGCTCCAGAGTCTCTGTCTCCCTGGGGGGACCCTGAAGCTCCGGGGAGCACAGGGAAGCTATGGGCATGACTGTGGACCAGTGAGAGCAAGGGTTGGCTTGATTGGCATCTGGATGGGAGAAAGAGAGAGGAGGTCATCAGGAGGGGCCCTGGGATCTCAGCCAGGGTGAGAAATGGAAAGTTGTCATGGTCATCCTACCTCTCTGCCATTCCGTTGGCTTTGTCCTCAGCCTCACCTCTTAGAACAAAATCCTACTTAGTTCCTGGGACTGTCCCGGCACAAGGCTCCCCAGGCCCTGCCCAGCCCGCTTTCTTATAACACCCAGGACCACCAGCCCAGGGATGGCACCACCCACAATGCTCTGGGCCTCCCACATCAATCACTGTTTAGGAAATGCACCACAGGCGTGTCCCCAGGCCAATCTGATGGGGGCATTTTCTCATTTGAGGGTCCCTCTTCCCAAATGACTCTAGCTCGTGTCTCAAGTTGACCCCCCAAAAAAAAAAAAAAAAAACCAACACGCAAAACACACAAACCTGGCTTTTGCCAAATAGCCAATAAATTATTCAGTTTGCAAAATGCCATTATGTGTGAGTTTACTTAATTGAATAGAATAATTTATGGTAAAACCTGGGGAAAGGAAGACCGATGAGGAATGGCACAGAGGAATGATGGAGTGTCAGTGAAGGCAATTTGATTTTTATCCCTCATTATAATAATGTTAAAGGGAAAACATCAACTTGGGTCAGAATCAATATTTGCAGTGTCTGGACCATGAATTTTAACTGGAGGTGGCTGGGTACATCAATAATTAATGCTTCGTCTGCTGCCACAAATAACCTCTGGGTTTGGGGACAGATGCCCACTGCCCGCAGATTTGCTGGTGGTCGTAAAAGGTAATTTAGGAACGAGTCTGTTGGTGATGCGTGTTCAACACACCCAACATGATTCAGGATGTGGCTTCGCACAGGGGTCCACAAATCACTGAGACAGATGAAGGGAAACTGGGTTCCTTTCCAAAGTCTGTGTATCGGGAGTCACGTAAGCCGCCTTCTGTCAGCTCTCAGCGCTCCTCCAGCACAGGCGACATTCCACTAACCGTCCTGCACCCCTTTACCCCAAAGGGTAGTGGACAAGCATCTCAGGGGACAGCAGGTTCCAGATATGAGCCACCTGAGTGGGACCCTGGGCACATCAATTCAGTCACCTCCCTTGTCACAGGGTATCCCTGGAGAATCAGAGCCCATAGCTCCGCTGAAGGTGCCTGTGCTCTCTGCTCTGCCCTGTCTGCTTTCTCCTCACCTGGTACAGTCCTCTAAGACACTCCCACCATGGGCAGGAATGGACACACAGCTACACAGAAAGCTGCTGACTGTCCCTGGAGGTCTGGGAAACAGAGTGTCCAGGTTCCCTAAGAGTGACTTGCTGAGCCCAAGTCCCAGCTTTCTGAACCCTGACATCAGAGGTACCCTAAAACCTCCAGGAAGCTCTTCCCTGCCCACCGAGGTCAGTACTAGGAAACTGGGCTATCTGAATGTAGACTCCAAGACAGCCAGAATCCCAAGTACTCAAGAGGCTAGAGCTGGAGGGTCTTGTGTTCAAGGCCACCACAGATCATTTAGTGTCCAACCAAACACTGGGCCTGGTGAAATTTCATAGGGCACTCTCTTCCCATTGGATCAGAACTCAGGCAACAGTACTTTCCCTACTTATGCAGGGTCTGAATTCTCACAAGACCTCGTCTTCATTATAATATCCTTTCCATTGTGCTGCTGGGCCACAGGAAGAAGTCTCCCACTGAAGGGGCCATCTGATACACCATGATTTGGAA